CACCAATCAGAAAATGTACCAACACCAACCAGCAGCACAATAAATAGAAGTAATAGGGCTGTTTCTACAACCACAACCACCAAAACAGAAACCACATAACACCTAACCAAGAAGGGAAATACTCTTCCTGCTTAAACTAAAGACAGCAGTCTAAAAAAATTCAAATAGATGACAAACAGTCATTGTCCAAATACTCCAACTGACAATAGATCATGCAGCAAATAGAAACAGCAACAGGAAAGCCTCCAAACACCTCCGGCAGTAGCCAATCTTTCCCCCAAGACATAAGCTTTTAGAAGTCCTAACAGGCCAAAAAAGGAAAGAAAAACCCTACCACTTCCAACTCTTACTGTCCATACACCATGACAGGATCAAAAACAGAGGCTGAGAAGAACAACTTCAGATAACTCAGTCACCATTACTTGCTGTCCATCAAGGATACCCTTGTGGGAGATCCACAAACAGGGCACAATACCAGGCGGAGTGGACCTCAGATAAAAGATATCAGGAAAAGAATAAAGAAACTTCTTCAAAACCTTAATCCTTCATTCATACATTGAAAGGACACCCAAAAGAATCAGCCTTTTGGTACTATGACCAAAAGGAAAGGAAAGAATAGCAGAAAATGCCTTACCCAAGCAGCATAAGTCCAGATTTGGTAAGTTCTTTGTCTAGATAAAAACATAAGAAAAGAGGAAAAAGAATAGGCATGCAAACTTCAGATCACTGTCTATTACTACTCTGATAAATCTAGTTTGATTTGGGAGAAAAGAAGAAAACCAGAAGAGAAAGAGATATTTGAGGCTGCCAAAAGTGAGTGGTGTCATCCCCAACTCCTTTATAGCCTCTTTGGTGAGGATTGTGTCTCTTGGGTTCTTTTGAATTGAAAGAACTCCCACTGCTACAAGCTGACTATACTTGGTCAATTTTTCAAGGCTCCCCAATCTACTATAAGCTGGATAGGTTTCTTTTTTTGGTAGGTTGGGAAGTGATGTGGGAGAACTTGACTTCCCGAGCTTTGCCTAGAGTAACCTCAGATCATAGCCATAGTTTCCTAGGACAAGGAACCTCGTTAGGTGGCCCATCTCTATTCAGTTTTGAAAATATGTGACTAGAGGACCCCACCTTTGTAGAGAAGATCAAACCTTGGTGGCAAGAGTTATGTGGTAGAGGCTCGAAAAAAGGTGGTGGTTTCTTTAGGAGCCTAAAGAGACTAAAGGAGAAAATAAAACTTGGAATAAGGATCTCGTTGGAAAAGTGGAGGAATCTAAGGGAAGAATCATTTTAAGATAAGGAGTTGGATAAGAAATAAGCTTCTAGGATTTTTAGTGGGGAGAAAAGGGAGGAAAGGTAGGAAGCTAAAGTGTGAGCTGGAAGAAGTCTTAAGAAAGGAGGAGATTTCCTGGAGACAAAAATCTAGATGTAAGTGGCTCTTGGAAGTGGATGGCAACACAAATCTAAGGGAGAGGAGCCCTACCCTCCCAGATCTTCAGTGGGATAGAGTGCCTGAAGCCTTATCAGTAGCCTTGGAGAATGTCTTTATCCTTGAGGAAATAAGAGAGATTGTTTTTTTGATGGACAGATCAAAACCCCCAGGACCTAACGGTTTCTCTCTGGCCTTTTATCAGGAGTGTCGGGACTTTATCAAAGGAGATTTGTTGGAAGTTTTCAATGAGTTCTTTAATGAAGGAGATCTCCCAAGGAATAAACTCAATGTTCATTGCCCTAATCCCTAAGAAGAAAGAAGCAATAGTACCAAAGGATTTTAGACCAATAAGCCTAGTAGGAAGTCTCTACAAAATAATAGCAAAAGTTTTAGCTGTGAAATTTAAGAAAGTATTACCACAGGTGATTTCATAGTTTCAAGGAGCCTTTGTTGAAGGGAGATAGATTATTGACCAGATTTTGGTGGCAATGTAAATTGGACATAGAAAAGGTTTATGATTTCATTGGTTGGGATTTTCTCCTTGAATTACTAGAGAAATTGGGTTTGGGTGAATGATGGAAATTATGGATCAATGATTGTTTGAGGATTTGAGCTTAGTGCACTACTCAATCCTGATTAATGGTGTGGCTAGACTTCTTCCCAACAAAAAGAGGTTTGAGACAAGGGGATCATATATTGCCTTTCCTCCTCACTATAGCTGTTGAAGTCCTAAGTAGGATGATTGTGAAGGCTGATCAAGATAACTTTTTTAGAGGGTGGAGGGTTGGAAGGCTTGAGGTGGCAATCACACACTTGAAATTTGCAGATGACATCATTTTATTCTGTATGGGAGGCAATCAAGAAGATATAAGAAACTTAAGAGAACTCAGGAGGGAATCCAAGATCAAAAGTCTTTTGGAAACCAGTGGTAAAGAGATTTACGAAGAAATTGGCTCAGTGGAAGAGGAACTACTTATCTAGGGAGGAGAAGAACTATAATTAGGGAAACATTAGCTAACCTACTAGTATATTTCCTATCCACCTTTAGGATCCCAATTAGGATCGCCAAACAGCTACATAAATTAATGACAAACTTTCTTTGGGAGCCTAGGGATGAAGAAAGGGACCATCTAATAAAATGGGAACAAGTTAGAAAAACAAAGGAGAAGGGAGGACTAGGAATAAGGAACCTAATTCATAGGAACACATATTTGTTAGGAAAGTGGCTCTGGAGGTTTCCTTTGGAAAGAGACAAGCTGTGACATAAAATTATAGAAAGCATTCATGGGATGATGAACAATGGTTGGGATGCAAAAGTAGCTAATTCTGCTACCTAGGAGAAAAGGGAGAATTGTAACCACTCCTAACAGAGCTTCCCAAACTCTTTCCAACTTCAACCACCCACTTCTAGAGATCAAAAGAGACCCCCCAAACTCTGAGTGCCACACTCAAACTGTCTCCTTATCCTTTAACTATGAATTCTCTAGTCGGCTAGGGTTTTGGGCAAAAAATTTAGCAGCCTCACTTTCTTGGCAGTCTACAGCCAAATTCTATCTCTCCAAACCCTCCATCAACGAGGCACAAATGTTCTCAAACAATCAGCAACTCATCTCTCCATATGCTCTTCTAATTGAAGGGTGTATGAGAAAAAAGAAAAGAAAAGAAAGGAAGAGGTGCTCTAATACCAAGATGTGATTCAGTCCAATAACTTTGCAAACAATCTAGATTTCAGCAAGGAAAAGAAGAGAAAATATAAGAGGAACAGAAAGAGGAAGAAGAAGATGGAGAAGAAAGGGAGAAGGAGAAAGAAGTTCGATATCTTCTCTCCTTACTCTCTAAACATTTATTAATCACACTTAATTAGAGACAATGGCAGATATGCCCTTAAGTGGGCGGCCAACTCATAAACTTACTTAAAAGAAATAAAAAAAAAAGATTAACAGGCCCATTAACAAATAAACACATGTAAGAAACAATAATAACAAAAATAAATCACTAGGGCTCATTCGGCCTAGTCTCTCTACATGCTTCCTTCTTCAATACTCTTGTGCAATCTCCTGTAGGAGGGGAGAACTTCCCGAAAAAAGAAATTTGGAGTAAGCCCATTCCACCCAAAGTTCAAGCATTGGGTTGGGAGGTTTGTCTTGGTAAGGTGAATACTTGTGACTTGTTTCAAAAAAGGAGGTCAAAAAATGCCTCTCTCCTCATGTGTGCTATCTTTATTTTGCAAATGTAAATCCCTACCCCATTTACTAATTTACTGTCCTATTGTTCTATTTGTATGGGAGTCCTTTTGCTCTCTCTTGGGGTGCAGGTGGATGATTCCTCAGGAATGTAGGGAGTCTCTTCAACCCAAATTTCTTAAGGTAGCCAGTGAAAAGAGGAAGAGTGATGTGGAAATCAGTTAAGGCAGAGTGGTGGAGACTATTTGAGAGGAAAGAAACACAAGAATATTCAATGAGAAGAACAGGTAAAAGGAAGAAATTGAGGAAACTATACAGATAAAAGTTGCACAATGGATAAAAACATTAGAGGTCTTCCAAAGCTTTACAGTGATTGACATAATAAGAATGTGGAATGAAGTGGCACACTCTTCTAAGGTAAAAGAAAAAAGGTGATGGAATGGAAGCCCCCCAGCTAGTAATAAAATCAAGCTGAATTTTGATGGGAGCTCTTTAGGAAACCCAAGACTGGCAAGTATTGGTGGTGTGTTTAAAGATTCATCAAGTAAAGTGTTGAAAATGTATTCAGGCCCTTTAGGGGTAGGAGACTCATTAAAGGCTGAGCTGTTGGTGCTGCTACAAGGTTTAAAACTCACTAAGCAAACAACCTACAAAACTTGGAAGTTGAAGGGGACATACCCTGAGGGAAGTAGAAAGCCTGGCAAGGGAACTCAGTGTCACCTTTTCTTGGATCAGAAGAACTTCAAATGGGGTGGCTGACACATTAGCCAAGCAAGGGGTATATTTTTTTTTGAAAAAGGTAAAGTAATTTTATTCAATGAGAAAGCCAATTACAACAAGACTCAGGCCAACTAGGCCTTCCTGGGCCCAAAACATATTACAAGAACATCCATGATTTAGAACAAGCAAGGGGTATATAAACAGCAGTTGTTTTGGGCATCATTATAATTTTTTGGGCTTCATTGATATATCGTGACATATTGCAATCCTGTAACTTGTCTTCCCTCTTATTAATAATATAAATTTCCTTGCTGATCAAAAAAAAAAAAAAACAGATTGTGTCTCTAAAGAGGTCAAAGGTTCAAAACTTCAAGTTGGCAGAGACCAACAGTACACTGAATAATATAAAACACACTCCTAACAACAGACCTGTATATCAAGGATCTATTAAAAAGAAAATTGCACAATGACCTTGTCCCAGCCCAAACCTAAAGAATATAGGCTGTCTGGGCCCCAGGCTGATCTCTACCTGCCCAACACAGTCTAATTTATGCCCCTAGGTGTGAAGCCTTTTTATTTCCTTCATGTTTTTCTTTGTTTCTTATCAATAAATGAAGATGGATACGATACATAATCTTCAACCCTTGCATATGGAGTGACTATGATGGTACCTTTGGAATACGCAGGGGATTCTTGGAAGCATATTCACACAGCTTGCCAATCTTTCGATCATTTGGTTCTTCATCCTGCCAAAATACCGAAGAAAAAGAAAATCATTTCAGGAAACTGTATTAAGCTTAAGGACAATAATCTTAAGTTTAACCAGATTACAAATTACCTGTAGTAATTCAAAAGAAAAAATGACCTACAACTCTAGTGTTCTAGGCTGCTGCAGCAAAATTTTCAATGTCTAAACAGAAACAAAAATAACAAATGATGAATGAATATATCTTGGTGTATGATGACAGGGGATTATTTGTTTATTTATCTACTTATTTTGATGTAGAAAGAGTAAATCAATTTATTCATTTATTTGTATGAAAATTATTATGATGGCTACCTCAAAACAAATAAATGTAAGACAATTTTATTACATAATGGAATTATTGACTTCAGGTTACATCTCTCTGGAATCTCAACCAAGGGAAAAAACTAGAGTAGATGTTAGTCAATGAATAGGTTTCCAGGAAACAGTTCTTTCTACCATTACCTAATAGGATCAATATATTTTAGTTATGCAGGATTGGTTGTATTAAAATAAATTTGAGTAATCACTGATATATCTCCTTTTTCTTGGAGAAATGAAATTTAGATAACAGTTGGACGGTTTTCAGCATTCCTATTGACAATATAGGTGTTGCAAGGAGAAAAAGGAAGGTCTGTCCTATGCTTTTATATATCACAATGCAAAAGATAGTATGGATAGAAAGCAACCAAACCCATGCAAAGGGCCCCCTGTACAAAATGTACAGACAAGTACATGTCCTATCCCAGCAATACAGGTTCCTAGAGAATCCATTCCCTAATTCTCCCTCCCTATCCAATAACTCAGTCAACAAATTAGTGGGCCCTAGAATCCAAAAGAATGTAGGCTCGGATTTTAGGGAGAGATGAACTCCCTGACTTTCACATGTGTATTATCTTGTTAGAAATGAGATGAGAAGGAGATGCAAATGGATTGATCCATTCAGCCAGTGGAACAATATGCTTTAGTAACCAAAGGGGGAAAGAGCATAGATAAGAGAAATTTGAAGTGTAAGCACCGTGGAGGGGAGAAACACACTGAGGTGGATTCTTCACCCTCACCTGAAATCAGCTACTTCAAAGAAGGGAAAGAAACCCCAGAAGCCATATGGTGCATCCAACGTTGCAAAAGGAGTGTCTCAGAACACTACTACAGGTGTGAATCCTGTTGGAATTCCTTTTATTCCTTGTAAATGGTCAACAGGTCTATATTTGTCCTTTTTTCTATTTATTTCTTTTATTTCTTAAGTAGGGTCAAAGTTGTAATTCAGAATTTCATAAATAATTAATAAAAGAAGGGCAGCAGTTAAGGAGAGTTTCAGTTCGATCTACCCTGATCTCAGCCCTATTTTCTCCTGCTTTCCTCTTCTCTTCTATCTATTTCCTCTTAACCAAGGATATTTTCTTGACTGGTTCTTATTTTTGTCACCCTTTTTTTCATCTGTTTAAGGCTGATCACATGGTATCAGAGCACCTGTAATCACCTGGGCAGATTTCTGGTCTCTTCATCTAACGCAACAGTTCTCCTACTGTGAGGAGATCTACAAAAGGACCAAAAAGGAGGTTGTATGCTTCAGCTAGTACAGTGTAGTCATTGTGGTGTTGTGATCATGGTTTATTAGAGACCCTATATTGAGAGTTCAAAGAGGGATGAATTGCAATTGATTTCTGGCAAGTCCACCTTTCATTGGTGGTTCAGTTAGTTGTGTATTGTATGGAATCTTTTATGGGTGGTAGACAGTAGACATTAATCTTGAGTTTTTTTTTTTTATCAGTAACAGAGGATTCTCATTAATTAAATAAAGAAAACGGTTAAATACAAAGTTGGGGGAGGTAAAATCTCTTAACTCTCCCCCAAAAGAAAGTTACAATGTAACCCAAAACAAATGGTTTCTTCCCACCCCCTGTTTGTCCAATGCATCTGCAAATGAATTCGCACATCTTTTAACCCACCGGAGACACACTTCCATTCCTTGTGTTAACCACTTGTATTGTCTTCGTTCATTAATGTATGTCCATAACCCATCATTTGCCTTCTCTGTCCAGCCAATTACTACTTGTAAATCCCCTTTAATGATCAACCTATTTATATTTAGCTCCTTAGTCCTTTTCACCCCTTCTAACAAAGCCAGAATTTCTGCTCACGATGAATCCCCAAATCCAATTGGACCTGAAAAAAGAGCTATTATTGGCCCTGTCTCCTACCTGAAAACACCACCAACTCCCAATAGCTTTCCAAGGTGCTGCAATAGTTGTTCAGGCCAAAATTCCAGCGTCCCAGCCATCGGCCGCCAGCCCATGTATGCTCTTTATCACCTTTGTCCACAGTTTTTCCTGATCCACCGAGAATCTCCACAGCCATTTCCCCAACAAAGTTGTATTTCTCTTTTGAATGTTCCCAATTCCTAAGGCCCCTGAATCCTTGCTTCTAGTTAGCATTTCCCATCTAATCCTATGGTCCCTCTTTTCCTCTCCAAGCTCGAACAAAAAATCCCTCATTAACTTCTCAAGACTTCTATAAATCCTCACAAGCATCCTAAAAACCGATAAGAAGTAGACAGGCAGGTTGGCCAAAGTTGATTTGATCAAGGTAATTCTTCCACCAAGAGAGAGATAATTCCTTTTCCACATGGATAGCTTTTTTGAAAACCTATCTGTTAACAGTTGTTTATATTCTCAGGTTTAGTACCGCAAGGGTACTGTTGTAATTTTCTCTTGTTTTTATGTTGTACGACTGGGCCAGTATAAATAATAATACTAACTCTCGCCCACTGAGTTAAGGAGGGCTCTCAGTCCACTTGAGTCTCCTCTCTTCTCTCCCTCTCTATTCTCCTCTCCTCTCTTCTCTCCCTCTCTATTCTCCTCTCCTCTCTTCTCTAGTTCTTGCTCAACATGGTATCAGAGCAAGTCGTCCAGGCCTGAAGGGTGGT